TAATTACTTACTTTAGCATAACATAGCATAAATAGCATTAGATATAGCATTAGCTACAGCATGATCTATTATCCTTGTTAGAATTTGGCAATAATTACTCACTTTAGCATTGTGTATAGCATTAGCTATAGCATGATCTATTATCCTTTTTAGAATTTGGTTATAATAACTCACTTTAGCATAGTGTATAGCATTAGCTACAACATAGCATTAGCTATAGCATGATTTATTATCCTTATTAGAATTTAGTTATAATTGCTCACTTTAGCATAGTGTATAGCATTAGCTATAGCATCATCTATTATCCTTGCTAGAATTTGGTTATAATTATTCACTTTAGCATAGTGTATAGCATTAGCTATAGCATAACATTAGCTATAGCGTGATCTATTTCCTTGTTAGAATTTGGTTATAATAACTCACTTTAGCATAGTGTATAGCATTAGCTATAGCATAGCATTAGCTATAACGTGATCTATTATCTTTGGTTATAATTGTTCACTTTAGCATAGTGTATAGCACTAGCTACAGCATTGGATTAGCTATAGCTATAGCATGATCTATTATCCTTGTTAGTTATTGTGTCTTTGCTCTGTTAAAACTGGAAGAAAAACCTTTATCCTTGTTAGAATTTGGTTATAATTACTCACTTTAGCATAGTGTATAGCATTAGCTACAGCATTATCTGTTGTCCTTGTTAGAATTTGGCTATAATTACTCACTTTAGCATAGTGTATAGCATTAGCTACAGCATAGCATTAGCTATAGCATGATCTATGTAAATTACTGATTGATTTATTCCTTTTATAACTATATTTTGTGTTAAAGTCTCTGTCTGTGTCCACAGACTCTCTTTTCTCTCTTTTTCTCTCTGTTGCATTAGATCCACCTTTAGGTCGACTAAAGGTTAGGTTAACTATGACCCAATAAATGTCATTTTTATACTTTTGATCTTTGGTTTATTCTCAGGTTTCCAACTAAAGAATCGCGCTGACATCCTGCAGTCAGAAGCAGTTTCCTTTAGGGAGGTTTAGCTTAAAATGCAAGCAGTTAAGTCATTTTCCTTCATGCAAATGAGGCTTTGGCTCGTGTTTCTGTTTCTCTTCTGGCGTCCCGAGCTGCTTTTTTGCTGTTTTTTTCCCTCTTTGCAAAAAAATGACCGATCGACCGTGCGCACGCTTTACTGTCCGGGGTGAGAAATATCTTTATGTCAAATACATGCTAAATAAACAGGGAATCAGCAAAAAAAAAAAAACGGTTTGTTGAAATTCATCGTCCCACCATGTTTTCATTTGGCCTGTTTTGGACTGATTGTTTGATCAGTTTGGGTCCGGTTTAGCCCCCTTTTGGACCCTTTTGTGTTCGTTTTGAGCTGGATTGGGTTAGTTTGGGTTCATTTTGGACCAGTTTTGGTCCGTTTTGGGTTAGTTTCTGTCAGTTTTGGTCGGTTTTGGTCTAGTTTGTGTCAGTTTTGGTCCGTTTTGGGCTGGATTGGGTTAGTTTAGGTTAATTTTGGACCATTTAAGGTCCGTTTTGGGTTAGTTTGGGCCAATTTGTGACTGGTTTGTGTTTGTTTTGGGCTGGATTGGGTTAGTTTGGGTCGTGCGCTCAGCTCCGTGGGGCAGGACGGGTTGGCAAATTTTTATATCAAATACATGATAAATAAACAGAGAATCAACAAAAATAGAATTTTTTCTTTGAAATTCATTGTCGTGCCATGTTATCTTTCAGTTTACTCTAACCCTGACCCTAACCCTAACCCTTCATAATTGTGAGAAATAAATATTTTTTAGTTAAAATAGTTAGGACTTATTGTACAAACCTATTTAACATCCACTATTTTAACATAATATTATGGATAGAGTTTAATTCAGTGTTTGGAAGATTAAATTAATGACTATATTGCCATGAAGCAATTAGGATTTTCTTGCCTGGGATCTTACTATTGGTGACCTAACCAAAATGGCCGACTTGGATGAAAGCTGAGAGTAAAACGGCTCTGAACATGGACACAGAGACACCCACATCTGTCCTTTCCTGGCTGTGTGCCACATTTTTCTGAGCCTCTTCGGCTCTTTTGGCTCCTCTTCCTCTTCTGTTTGGCAGAAAATGGAGCCAGAGGTGGTTGGTGGAGTTATTTTGAGCTTATTTGTTCTCTCCCTGGACCTCTGAGAGGATCACAGTGGGCTGCTCTTCACCTCCGGATTCAACAGGATAACCCGGCTAAAAACTGAATCCACTTCTCATGATTTAATGTAAAAAGAAGGGAAACAACAAGCTGGACTACCACAGAATGGTAAATGAGATGTATGAGATATTATGATTATATTATTGACACATGAGATAAAAACTGAAGAACTATGTGGAGACAAATGGAAAAAATGGGCCATTTTGAGGACAATTATAGGGACAATAACATGGGAACATGGTTGTTTTTTGCCTTATTACCCTTTTTTTGCCCCTTTTTATTATATTATTGATACATGAGATAAAAACTGAAGAACTATGTGGAGATAAATGTAAGAAATGGGCCGTTTTGAGGACAATTTTAGTGACAATAACATGGGATAACATGGTTGTTTTAGCATATTACCCCCTTTTTTTCTTCACTTCCTCACATATTTTGATTGTTTCCTTTAAAAATATATATAAATTGTTAAAAACATTCATGTAAAAATAACCCTTTAAAGCCTGATCCAAGAAAAATAGGAAGAATATTGGATTTTTTTAGTCTGAAGTCTTTCTTTGGCCCCTCAACAACATATGAAGAAAAAAAAATGATGCAAAAAATGATGCAAAAAGTCTCAGATCCAAAAGACTTCAGAAACCGAATTAGATATGACACATTTAGCATTATAGGGTTAAGACCCCCAAAACAGCTTTAAAAGCCCCAAAAAACAGCTTTAACCCTCTAAAGCCTGATCCCAGAAAAATAGGAAGAATATTGGATTTGTTTTTAGTCTGAAGTCTTTCTTTGGCCCCTCAACAACATATACAGAAAAAAA